CATTTTTTAAATTTGAATAATATTATAATTAGAAGAATTGTAGTTCCCTTTCTAAATAAATACAATATGAAATTATTTCTTTTGATGTTATATTATTTACATGATTATATAGTTAGTGGTGTTGTCGAATTGAGTGCTCTGGAAATGAAGAAGTTTCTCTACATACTTTTAAGAGCTTTATAACTCTTAAACTCATAGAGAGATACTATTCTTGAATAGGTTTTTATGTTTTTATGTTATAATAGCTGACAAGGCAGACGTTGTTCTGCCCTTTTAGACGACCCTTCATATAAAAAATCCTTAAATTAGGATTAAAAAAATATTGAGTGTCACTTATCAGGATAAAAACTATCCTATCTCTCAAGTTGGGTGCAAGATTTCATTGAAATCAGTTCAGTAGTTTAGCAGTTCATCGCGGACAAACAATGTGACACGTAATTTTTATTTATAAAGATTATCTGTACATAGACTGGTAATAAAACACCATTATATATGTTATTGAGGGTACGTTTTATTACTACCACTGTTCGTAATTAATAAATTTGATCCGCCTTTCATTAATGTATAATTAGAGCAGTAGTTTCGAATATCGACTTTAAATCAAATATGATATGACCGAAATCATAACATCTAAAACAGGCGAATGTAATTATGTCGTAATTATGTACGCAAACGGCAATCTCGATGCCATAATGAAGTAGCATAAAACAGAATTATTGCGTTCAAAGGCATTCCGCTGTCAATATGTTGTGAACAAAACTGCGTCGGGCCCGTTTGTAATTATGAGCCAGTGTTTGTGTCTGGCTTTATTGCTTCCTGCAGGTGACGTCAAATCACGGTCCGATCAAAGTGAATGCTTTTAATAAAGTGAGCAACCGTCGTTACCTACCCACTTGCCTGCGTAACGTTGAACCGTTGACATCTATAGCGAGTTGACGAACTGAGCGATCTATCTTCACACTGATTGACGCATGAGGGATCCGATTAAAATGGGCAGTGTGTCTATAGTCTGGCTGGGATATTATTATTAATACTGCATTTTCAATTCATTCATGCCATAGCAAATAACACCTGTGTATTGAGAGATTTATTTGCAATGCCTATAAATTTTCCCTTTACAAACGCGGTATGTGCATACAATTCTATTTTCATTAAAGCGTTAGTGCTATATTTGTACAAGGTATAAAGTTTCTCACGTAATGAATGTATCCCATATTTCACCCCTCGATCTAAAATTCTCGTTTGAAAGAGCTGTGTGAATAATTCTAGTTTGATTGGCGCAAATTTAATAGACTCCTTTCAATTTTTATCTACATATGGGAGAGCAAGCGAACAGGTGGAGATGATGTGAGGGGCTCCCACGTTGCGCGATCGAGTTTCGCGAGTACCCCTTACTATATTTTCGAGCATGATGCTACGTTCGGTTGTCTTAATCGTTATCTATGAAGTGGGTCGCGGCGTGGCGTTCTAAGCGAAGTTTTGAGCGATTCTCGTGGTACGGGGTGCTGTGCGGCCGAGTCTGAATTATTAAAGCGTTACAAAGGCTGATGAATGGGCGATTCATTTCACTGGACGTTTCGCACTGGACCAATCCGCGATATATCGGCATTAGCATAAGAATCTGCGGCACCCTCGTTCCCACGGCCCGGCTTTATTGTTTCGCATACATGCATGTGAGTACTACTAAGAATTATTAGTTCTTATTGCATTATATGAAATAATAATAGGCAGTATACTTAGAGGATTCTTTCGGAATAACTTTTGCTAACGACTATATAGAAAAGCGATATATTGCACATATTCTTTAATTAGTTAGATATGTATTTTTTAATAAATAGCTTACTAGCATAATGTTTAATGAACAACAAAACAAATAGAAATTTTACCATTACATGCTATCTAAAGTCCCTTTCGTAACATAGGCCTCCCCATAGATTGCACATAAGGTGGTATTTCCCATTATTGCCACGATTGGCTGGTGAGTTGGTTGGGTAGTCACAGATTTTGTTATTAGTTTTTATTGGGAAGACGCTTCTGCCAATCTCTTGTTTTGTTTCCCTCTATACTATAGCACCCATGGGTATTCTTAAACCGCCACTACGCGGCATAATATGGTATTGTAATAGAAATATTAGTATATTCAAATTAGATTTATAGATAATCCAACTAGATCAGATAAATATGACCAAAATATAAGACCATAATATCAAGACATAAATAATAAATTATCAGTTTCAAAATTTTTGATAGACTGATAGAAGAAATAATTTCGATAACTTTATTTAAAAAAGTCATGCGGTTAGCATTTTCACATTTCTTCTAAAAATAATATTCACTAGGTGATTGGGAAGATACGAAATGTATGTGATTTTTGTATACGTGTTTCGTACGTGATTTGTGAGCACTTGGGTTTTGTTATTGCTTTTACCACAATTTTATGAGCACCAATACCCGGCTGTTTTATAGGCATTTGGTGTTACGACATATTCAACTGGAAATTTATTTTCTCTAAAATAATGTTGCAAATTTTAAGTAATATCATATGAAAATACTATGTTAATTAAATATATATCATATGAAAATAATGGGCTAGATTAGCAGTTTTATGACCTAGTAATAATAAGGACCTTTTACTGACGGTATAAATGGATCTACTACCCCCAAATCATCTCGTGGGTGTCGTAAGAGGCGACAAAGAAAAATGAAACAGGAGATAGAAAAAAACACCTTTGTGATAAAAATTCAGAATAATAATCAAACTGCGTTTGCCTACCCGCCTGCTAATTTTTCTGTTATAAAACTGAAAACGTCCAGTCCACCTGATAGTAATATATAGTGTTAGTATTAGATAGTCGTAGCCTATGTGGCTACTGTAGTCCATGGGCCATCTACCAACTTCAAACAAGGAGGGCTACAGATGCGTTGTCACATTTGAGGATTAAGATGGACTGCCTCACAGCCTGTTATTTTACTCTCTATACCAAATAACACTGCTATTTGGCGACAGAAATAGGTAAGTGGGAGCTGCTCCTAGGCAGAATTGAAGTCCTATCACCTAGTAAATCATCCATCGATTTCATCATCATCATAGTTCCAGTCCTTCACAAGTCCCCTGCTTGAAATAGAAGTATGATGCTGCACTGTATTGTAGGGTAAGTAATGGGAACTTGAGACCCTTTTTCTACCGACTTCAAATAGGAGACGGTACTCAATTCGATTGTACGTGTATTCTTTTTTTAAGTGTGTTACCTCATAACTTTTTATGGGTGAACCGATTTCGATTATTCTTTTTTTATTTGAAAGCTGGTGCTTCTCATATGGTTCCATATAAATTTGATCAAGATCTGATCAATAGTTTTTGAGTTATTCTCAATAATTTATATTGAAATCGGTTGTACAAAATTTTAAATTATTTACTGATAAGAAGGCATTGTATCTTAGTTCTCAGGACTAACAACGCATCTGCATTTTGATTCTCAATTGAGAAAAGAAGTGTACTTTTAATAGAGTGTAGGTGTCGCACCTTCATACCATCAGGCCTGTGTGCTCAATTGTCATATAGAGTAGCTAATCGCTAAATATGATTAAGTAATAACATTATATACTGATAATTTTCATGTATGGCATAGTAATATGTTTAACTTAAAACCAGTAGTATAATAATTTCGAAATAAAAACAAGCTATTTGTGTTACTTGCAAGAATGTTGGCCTTTGCAGATATTCGAAATCAGGACCCACATTTAGGGATTAAATACTATGACTACAAAGCTATTATGGTATTTTAAGTCTAAATGAAATTAGATTTTTTTTAAAGTCATCAAACCCATTCTTTTTATTTAAAGTAGATAAAAAATTAAATTAAAAAAGAACTTAAATAGAACGAATACCGTATTCGTGGTATATTCCACCTATATAAGTAGGTACATATGTTACTTTTAAAGCACAGGTGCTACGCTTATCACACAAAAGCCGTAGCCGCTACGCCAGACACCTACAAGCTTACAATTGCTACGCCACTTCGTAGTTAACGTAACACTTTTATCGTCCTCCCCACGAGACTCTTATGATGATCATGAGTCATGCTACGGTAAAATTATTACTGTATAATATTTTTAGGATAGTTTGATAGTATTTAATTGACTTGATTAATTATTATGTAATAATATATATTGAATAAAATTTATTCTATTGTACAATCATAGACAAAATGATAGAGATATTTTTTAAGAAAGGTAATGTGTAATTTGCATGAAAAATGAAATGTCTCACAGTAATCACAGAAAAATATTTTGTATTTTTAATTCACAGATAATATATATTAAAAAAGTTCATTTTTAGAAACATTCTAATATTCATACTGTAAAATTTTTAAGCTGAAGTAATTTTTTGTATGTGTATTGTCAAATTTAATTAATGGAATTTACAATTTATGTTTACTTTATGCGTCCGAAGATCTTTTATAGTCCTCTTGTGATAAGTTCATCATTACACGTATGATTTTTGGAGAATATCTTCTTTTCGAAGTTAACGATTATAACCAAATATTTTAATACTTACTGATTTTATTCCGTATAACATTTTAATAAATCTAACAAACCTCAACTTTATTTACGACTACATTTTACTAGTAGCTTGTTTGAATATAATAGAATGACATTTTGCAAAACAAATTCTAAGCTATGTAAAAAGAACTATATTTTTAATCAATTGCTTGTCATTACTGGATAGTTATCATCTAAAAATTTTCAGATTTATCATAATACTAGCTGGCCAGGCAGACGTTGTACTGCCCTCAGCGGCGAACCTCTGTACTTAAATTTGCAATAAAATATTGAGGGTCACTTATCGGGATAAAAACTATCTTATCTCTCAAGTTGGACCAAAATGCACAGAGTGTGCAAAATTTCATTGAAATTAGTTCAGTAGTTTAGGAGTTCATCGCGGACAAAAAATGTGACACGTAATTTTTATATATAAAGATTATAATAAATTAACTTACATTGTTGCAACTTTTAGGCTTGCTGCTGTTGTTCTTGTTTTTGCTAAACCTTGATGGCGGCGTTGCTGGCGCGGGCGGTGTACCCGGCGGGCAACTGTCGCTGCTGCCTCCACTACCGCTACCGCTTGTGATTGTACCATTCGACTTCTCTGAGCCGTTGCTTAACTGTGCGGACAAAATGGCGCAAGTCGGTTGAGTGTTTTATGTCTCAGAGTTTTGCTTTTAATTACCTAAGTTTATCCTCTAGATAAATGTTACTGAAAATCTTTTTAAGAGAGTTTTTAAGTTCATCTAAAACATTTCTTTTTATAACATTTATTTTTAAACATGCAGTAGCGGTATAAGAATATCTACTACCCTGTATTGTCCCGTGGGTGTAGTAATAGGCGACACAGGTCAATTAAAACAGGAGGTGGTAGCAGTATCGTCGTTATAACAACTTAAATTTATAAAATACTGCAGTTGCCAAACTCGTTTTGTAAGCGTGGTAACTATAGCTAAGTTGGGGAGGTTTGTGTTCAACAGAGGACTTCTATAGGCTGTAATGGATGGATGGATAAAAATATTTAGGTTACGTCCTTAAATTTTTTGAGATTTTAGTGACATTGTTTAAGCCCTAAAAATGTATTGTATTAAATTATTCACTTTAAATCTATTTGTTTTAGTTATTGGTGAAATAAATAAAGTATTATTTATATTATTATTGTAAGAAAAAAACAAAATTACATAATAAGAAGGAGTTTAATATATGTTATAAGCAAAAACGGGCCATGTTGAGTGTTTCATTTAAAAATGGCCGGCCTTCATTAAAACTTTACGGGAACATCACCAGTCGATGTTCGAGCATTGTTTGCGTGGATCGAGCAAAACGAATCAGAGGTAAAACACGACCGCCATTATTTCCAAACTTTTTTCGACCGGAGCCTTAATGGCCTCGCAGCATGAAAAGCAGCGCGCCGCGTATCCGGGCTAATTGCTTAATTAATAAGGTCGCCGGGTTGTGAATTTTACACACGGTCAGTTGGAAGTGCGCCAGAAGCACTTGTAATAAAAATGCCAGTTTAAAACTTCGGTCGGCGACTCATGACGTTTCATAGAAATTTATTTCAAAATTCTGTTAGAAATTTTCATATAATGTTGTCGTCAATATCAGTTTTTATGATAAAACGATAAACAAATAAGATTGCACATTTACGTCGTATAGGTCATTTTATTTTTAAAATAAATTCAATGTATTTTAAGCAAATATAAATCGTAAATTTAACGTTTAGTTCTTTTGAAATATGGAAGTTTGTGTATATTGTAGCACATCAATTTTTTTTATTCAAGTTAAAAAAATGTAATGTGAGAATCGTATGAAAAATGAAAATGGTCCATTTTTTTTAAGAGTTACTTATGCTCCAACTTCGCAGGGCTATTGTAAGAGGATTCCCGATAGGCTACTGTATACCATTTCCTAGATGTAAAATAAAAAGACGGGGCGTTAAGTATAAAAAATCTTTCCTACAATGGAAGACGCCTGTGCCCTGTTGTAGAATCTTACGAAGCTTAATGCTTACGTTTGAATCTATTATCTATAAAATAATTTATTATTAATATTATCTACAATAATAAATCATCATACTAATTATAGTACGAAAGTCTGCAATTATATTAAAATTATTTCATTGTAATAAGAATATTATTATGATATAAGTTTTAATTATACCCAACTCAAAACAGCTAACTATAAACAATTTCAAATTTTGTATAAACAGAAGCGAATCTCGTGCGGAATGCGGGAAGGGATTAGTTCGTGCCGATTGCGTAAGCAAGATTTTATGGCCCTGTTCAAATTGACGAGACACGTCGCGTGAATTACGTGGGATGCTATTAGTTCTAAAGTTAAACCCATTACTATTAAATATTCTGTGGTAAGGATGACACACGAGTACACAGTCCAGCACATGATAAGTGGATGCTCTGGCACATAGACACCTACAACTACACCTATTTTCGATTAACAGTCAAAATACAGAGTATGCGTTGTCACTTGTGAGCGCCAAGATGAACCTCATTATCAATAAAAAAGGTTTCCGGTTCCCGTCACTCACTTTGCGAAACACAGCAGCACAATGGTATTCTGTGCAAGCGTTGTTCTTCTCCGGTTGAGACGTGTCCATAATACAATGCAGTGTGGTTCTATAATGTAAAGCGTTAAGTATTTCTCTTTTACAAAGTTACTTTATTACAAGTATTTTTTTTACTAGCATTACGATCACCATTTTTTTTAATAAAAACAATATTTTACAGTTTTAAAAATAGTCAAACTTTTTCGAGGTCTTATTTACTGAATAGGTTAGTAGGTCAAGCGGACAAACCATGCGAAATCGTGTTCCGCGTCCCGCACGTGCTCCACTTAATTTAGAATGAATCTTTGACATTTATAATCTGTGGTGCTTACATCTGAATGTAAGGGGTTGTTTCTGGATGGCGACGTTGGTGATGCCACACGAACGGAATTCGAGTCACGATCACTACCTGAGTGGCCGTTAATACTGCTGCTTGCATCTGGGAAAAAAGAATTATTTAATGATTTTTATCTTAACATGATATCAATTTTCTAAATATTTTAATAATTTAATGTAAAGAAGAAAAAAACGACTTCATTTGTATAGAATTATACTTATGGCTGCACCACAAAGATAGATGAAAGTAAATAAATAATTCGTAAATCTTTATTTGCAAAAAATCATGGTATTATAAGAATACAATGATCCAATGTAATAGAATATTACAATTTATCCAATGCATTCGTGTTTCGCTAACAATAGCACATAGCATGCAAATTATAATTTTAAACTGTTCACATGACAATATTAATTACTATCAAAAATCTCATTAGCTTTAGATTTAGTTTTCAACCAATCATAAAAATGATGCATTGCATATATTTCGCTTAGTAATTTATATTCTTTAAGTATCTTATTGTTGTATATTTTCACACACATATTTAGACAATTATTGTTTTTGTTAATTTTGCTGCATACTTTATCTATTTGTTCTTTCCAATTTTACCCTTATCGATGTCACTCCCAGAAATGTGTAACTTCTTTTAGTTTTGGTATATTTACTTAAATATTTTATATAATGAGAAATATTAAAAAAGTGTCAGTTGTATTATTAATAATATCATATTCTTGATTTTAATTGACAAGTTACAATAATTGATATATGATATCTACTTGTCATAAGGTGGACTGCGAGTTCGTATGCAAAATTTATTTTTGTAAAAAAATTCTACCAAACCCAAATTTTACTGATTGTTAATGTTGTGCTGCAAAGTTTACCGTGTTATAAAAATTATAATTAAAGGGTTCCCTTTACAGAGAAACATTCGTGTGCATGGCCTATATTATGGAGTGACATCGTTATAAGTGATGTTGAATAAAAGCAAGACGAATATTCGCGATGCCATAATTACGACAGCTAGTTAACGAAGTCAACGGCCATGATGCGTCACCTCGCGTGCTTGGAAAGTGCAGGCTCATTTACATTAGTGAAAAGAGATTGCATTTACTACTGTAATGACATAACGAAGTTAAAGTCATTTTATTAATCGTATTCGTAAATCGTAATTAAATAAAGCATTATTAGAATTTAGACGAATTTGATGTTATTTTGAAATTGAACTTGATTATTCGTGGTGTCACAATTATTTATTATAAAACTGAAGTGACAAACAAATAAATTTACAGTTCACCTGATAATAAGTGGCCACTACAGCCTACTTTTAAAAAGGAAGGTTACAAATGCGTTGTCATTACTGAATATCAAGATGGAGTGTTTTTATTCGAGTGGAGCCTTGTATCGGTAATAGTAGTGTAGGGTGGCCTTCCACATTTTTTTATAGGATAGAGTGACAAACGAGCACACAGTCCACCTGATGGTAAGCGGTTGCTGTGGCTCATAGACATCTACATCTATCCTCGTTTGCGAATCAAAATGCAGATGTGTTGTCACCCGTAAGGACTGAGATGGAATGCCTCTTTTCCATTAAAAAGGGTCTCCAGTTCTCTACACTCACCATACGAAACACAGCTGCGTTAAGCTGCCATTTTACGCTGGTATTCTGTGAGAGCGTGGTCCTTCCCCGGTCGAGCCGACCCATTCGTGCTACAACTATACTACTAATATAGCTGCAGCATGGCTCTACCAAGTGTAAAAGGATGTAAATATAATATTATTATTTTTTTTGGTTTTGGCATTACGTTACAAATATGTTTTCTGGGATAGCTATCATGTCATGCATGAGAACTTGATCGAAAAGCATTACAATTTTATTCACAGTTTGCAAAATAGACACTTAGTGACTATTATTATTTCTCGAGGATTGGAATATAAATCAGTTTTGGGTCTGGTGAGCTACTTTTTGCACACATCGTGTCGGTTTAAAAAAAACTACAAACAAAAGTAGAAGAGCCTAGAGTTTGAAGAATATAACTAAGACCTTTGAACTTGGATTTAGCTTAGTGGAGGTAAAGCTGAAAATGTATGTGTAACACATAAACGAAGAAAAGGGGTAGGTAAACATTTCATACCTAACCATCGAAATACGTGACAACCTTATTAAACACTTACTAGAGTCAGGTGGCGGTTGGTGGTGGTTCTCCGTGTGCCGGCGTAGTGAGCGCGCATCACAGTATGACTTTCCGCAGCCGTCCGCCTTGCACTCGTACGGTTTCTTGTTGCGATGCGTTAGCATGTGACCGTTTCTGAGGAATAAAACAAATAAATAATTTCTATTCATATACGTCTTAAATATAAGCAAACTTAAGTGTTAAACACAGATATATTTGGAATAAAATAGGTAATTATATTATTGCTAATTACGTTATTTCGTATAATTAATATTTTTTTAAAACACGCTTTTAATGGAGCTATTTAATTAAATAAACGAAAAACCGTATTAAGCATATACTAAAACGTTGGAAGGAACGTAGTTTTCGGAAAAATAATAAGAATATTTTGAGGAACTTCAAATGTATTTGTGAACCTAACACGCCCTGGTATTGCCTTGAGCCCAGTGATGTACTTGTAAGCCGTTATTTTTTTGTAATAAAACAACTATAAAATATATTTTTTACGACTTAAATATTATTTTATTGTAATGAGATGTCTGTCAGTACTATTTTTCTGCTGGATACTGTATGAGAATAGCAGTAAATTACTCCATAGTTTCCTATAATTAAATGAATAACATGTTATTTATATTTTTAAACTGATACTAAAATTTAATTAAAACTTTAAAACGGATAACCTAAATAATTAATTCACGACAAACAAACAAACGGTAATTTTAAATATAGTAATTTATTAATGTTACTTAATGCTGCTGTGTTTCGTATGGTGAGTGTATAGAACCGGAGACCCTTTTTCTACCGACTTCATAAAGGAGACGGTACTCAATTCGACGGTATGTTTTTTTACATGTGTTACCTCATAACTTTTTACTGGGTGAACCGATTTCGATAATTCTTTTTCTCTTTTTATTTGAAAGTTGGTGCTTCATATGTGATCCCATATAAATTTGATCAAGGTCTGACCGATAGTTTTTGAGTTATTCGTAATAATTTGTATTGAAGTCGGTTGTACAATTTTTTTAATTTTTAATTATTTATACTAGAAACGCCCATCTTTGTCGTCAGAGGTGACATCGCATCTGTATTTTGATTCTTAACGGAGGTTAAATGTGGAGCATCCATTTGTAATCAGATGGACTGTGTCCTCGTTTGTCACCCTTATTCTCTAAAATATGTACGTAGATGTTCATTATATAATTTTATTTATGTAAACACATATATTTTAGCTTAATACTGCGTGTCTGACAAATTAAAAAAAATATTTCCATGACGAGCAAAACCCGCCTACACACTTTGGGGCAGCGCGGTTGACATTTCCTTGCCCTAAAGCCCTCTCAGAAATAAAAGGAGGACTGTGTCCAATTTTGGTTTTAAATTTGGTTAAAAATTCCAATTGTGGTTACAAACATCTACATATCATAACTTAGTATAGGTTATTGTTAAAAAGCAAAACATTGTATACTTTAATCGTAAACAAAATAAACAATAAATTTCTATATGAACGGTAATTATAGAATTCGAAATGTATAGAAGCAGCACCACCGTACAACATTCAGTTAACGCGAGAGTATTACGGGCACAATGATTACATTAATATTCATGTGGGGTTGAAAGCCACAACGATTAAAGGGCTGCCCTGCGCTGTGTACGTGTGTTGTAGTCACTGAAAAGCCGCGTAGGATTGACACATCTTTGATATCGAAAAGTCAACGGGTCTTTATTTTACATATTTTACCCCTAAAAACCGAAATGCGGCTACATCTAAGTTTAACCGGCTGCAACTAGGTGTAACCGAGTGTTAAGCTCAAGATTTTTTGTTGTAATAATTAATCAACAATGTAACTGTATTAGCCTTTTTAATATTATTTGATATAAGACTGTATTTTTTACAAATTTAACGAGAGTTACAGTTATTCTATAAAATATATATATTATAACATTTTTTGTTATCATTAGGATTTAGGACCTTTCTATACCAAGCTTATCCTGAAAGCAACTTTTACACAAGTTGCTGCTGTAGTGTATTCGGATTTTAACAGTGACAAATTTATTAAACTTCTTACATACAACTTGCATCCAAGGTAGAGAAAAGGAAAAATAAATACGTTACGTGTACATGATCAAAGTATTATAGTTACTACCAGTAGCGTTCTGAAATACAGGCGTATAGTAAATGGACTGCAGTATCCACATACCATCAGGTACACAGTAAGTTGGTTTGCCACATCCGCTTTAAAAAAATTTACGCGTGAGTAGGTTCAGGCAAGTGAATGTCAACAATCTTAATCAAAGTAAACAATCAGCAAAGTATAAATCAAAAGTCTCTTTTATTGTAAAAGATTGTCGTGTAAGTTCACGACATAAAAATCTGTAAAATTTAAATGATATAATACTCTTTTTATTTTATCTGTTGCGTCATCTGTATTTTTGGTCGCCCATATAACTAGTCAGTACTGTTACCGCAGTAGCGGCAGCTGGCAGCTGTGTAGCGGTGGGAGTCTCTGAAGTGTTTTTTGTCGGAATTGGTTTTTGTGACTGTTAAGTTTTGAACTAGGGATCAACGTTTTTCTAGACATTGATAAATGTTAGAAGGCCTGTGCGGTCTCTATGAATATATCACGTTATCCTTTTTTGTTAACGCCAACAATTTTACTTTTATATCGCGTGATATTCTAGAACTAAAATATTATTAAAAATATTAGCAACGGTTCTATAAATATAACGTCACAATATACTTACAGGTGGTCCTGCCTCTTAAAAGCTTTCGCGCACGTGATGCACACGTACTTGCGTTCATCGCTGTGTGTCAACTTATGCTTGGCTAGTGCTGATGCGTTCCCGAATACTTTGTTGCACACCTGTCGAAATTAATAAGGTTAATCAGACACTGCAAATTATTTAAGCCTAAAATTTTAATTTAAGTTCCTTCACATTAAACTCACAAGAAAAACATGAATATTATTTTATATAAAAACAATTTATTTTTCTTTTATACAAAAATAAAAAAAATATATCTACTACGGTTTTTAAAACCAATGTTCTGACAAAAATCTCAATTAAAATGGCATAAAATTACTTAATGAAAAATAATTTTAAACATATCTCAAGTTATCTCCATGCGCAATATGATACATAGAGTGAAATTTTGAGTTAAAACTGCTTGCCAATCATTAAACATGTACAAACTATAATTATAGTCCTTAGTATCAAGTTTCAAGTTGAATACTTTTCCAAGTATTAAGTTTTCGTAGACTCCTAGACTAGATATTGCGTAATTGATTACTTGGCAAAATAAATTATGACTTGAAATTTCAGTAAGGGATAAGTTTATAAATAAGTCTTCATTAAATATCTTCTTCATATTCACCAGCCCACAAAAGTCCACTGCTGGACATAGGCTGCTTAGCAGTGGATTTGGATAGGCTGTAATGATGATGACGATGAAAATTAAAACTTATTGATTTTTATAGTTAGCCTTTGAGCGAGAAAAGAACCAGCCCTATTAGCACCAGTAGCAACGACCAGTCGCGAATAGAGTTCCTTTAGGTACTTCAGCGCACGAGGACCCTACGGACCGATGGTCTCTACAGCAAATGGGACAAATATGTAGTCATCTCTCAGAGACTCATATGTGCGCCACTTACTCAGTTCTGCTGCCTCTGATGCCGCCCCGGCTCTAAACGAGGTATTCCTGAGATGGGAGGCCGCCAATATGTCTACGCAAGTAGCATCCCATACTAGGGCTTTACCTCTCTCCCGAGAGACCAATGTCATATATGTACCGTCAGGCCTCCTGCCATCATCTCTAAATATTCCACAAGGCTCTAAAACTGAGGGAATATTTATAGAGACAAGAGCCCTTCGGATGATATCGTTCAAAGAACCGTGCCGTGAAAACCTACCAACACTTTTCTTACGTGATAGTCCGTGAAGCCCAAACTCGTGCCCTGCCTACGTAGCAAAGCACAAGTCTACTTTATTATTTAAAATTATGTTACAAAGTCACTGACACTATGTACGGAAGTAAGGAAAGCAGGCAATGCAACGCTAGAAAGATTTCTCATACCAATACTACCAAACTTTATAGGTAAATTCAATAAAATTGATTTTTTATTGAAGTCAGAATAAAGTTCGAGTACGAATTTATTATTTATTATATATTGCACAAAAATGCATAAATGTTATCCCGGTGGTGAGACAACCGTTGAAATTAAATTACCCTAATATGAAGTTGCGAGATGTAATAACATGGAAACGGGTCGGTACAAGTCCCCGGGCGGCTGCTGACCCTAATGCCGTGTTTGTTTCTCATCTAATTAAGAAGACCTTTCGCTTTCTTAGCCTGTTTTCATTTGGAATGACCGCGGGCTCTCAAGACACGTTTTAATTCCAGTGTTATTTCATTTTCAAGACATCTATAAATAGATTAAAATAGATTGCTTGCATACATAGATATGTATAAGGGTATTTTATTTATATACTAGCTGTTACTCGCGACTTCGCTCGCGTGTTAGGGTTAATATTTTTTTGCGCGGAACCCTAATTCTTTTTCTAAAATAAAAGTAGCCTAAGTTACTCCTTATGACATAAGCTATCTGCCAGTGAAAGTCCCGTCAGAAGCGGTCCAGCCGTTTCGGTGATTAGCCGGAACAAACAGATAGACAGAGAGACAGACAGAATTTTTAAAAAAAATTGTATTTTAGTTATAAGTACCGTATTTACTTTCATATGTATTTAGTAAAAAGCTGTTATTTTGACATTACAAACAGATACTTCAATTTTATTTATTTGTATAGATTAATTACGTCTAACGTAGTTGTTAAGTGGTAGCTCAGGAAATAAGCTCTAATGTTCAAAATTTTCACGCGCAAACCGAGTTCGTGTCTAGCCAGAGTTTAAATAATGCTCTAGCACCAATTTTTAATTTACCATGTGTTCACGGTGAAGGAAAAATTATGGGTGACGGAAAATCAGCACATTTAAAAAAGAAGAGCTTGTCTGGTGCCTTAGTGCATATTGGGAAATTTCACATTCCCTTAAAATATGTTTAATTTTTTAGACATGCATGCATGCTTACCAGAGAAGGTTTTACGGTGTGGAGCCACACTGTAGCTTATTAAGTCTGCACCACGAATAGGTCGACTCGAATGGGGAGAGACCACGCTCGCACTAGATACGAGCGCGAAACAATAGCATAATGCAGCCGAGTTTCGTATGGCGGCCGGGCGACGAAAATCGTAGGCCTTTTATACTGTTAACGAGGCATTCCATCTTAGTTTTTACCGGTGATAATGGAAGTGCATTTTTATTCTTAATCGAAGATCTAAGGTTGTCTGGAAGAGATCACTTTTAGAGTGATAAGACCGCCTGTTGTACATAATCTACTTTAGATTTAACTGTACTCGTCATTTTGTATTTTGGTGTACAATAAAGAGTAAATAAATAAATAAACTGTAGGTGCATATGGTTCATGGCAATCAATTACCATAAGGTGAACTGTGTGCGCAACTGGACGTAGTTAAGCAGAAAGGACTCAATCCACACAGTGGTCAAAATTGAGTTAAGTATGCCATCGTACTCCTGAGGATCGAAACTATCATGTAGTGAAAACCCTATTTTTAAAATGTACACGGAAGCTGATTTTTTTCGCTACCCCGACTCAACCCACAGTATAAAGAGCACACAAAATGTATTCGCTGAATTAATTCAATCCGCTTGAATTGTTTCTAAGTAATGCATTTCTATGAGTATGTACTTAATGTCGAAAAACCAGGATGGACTCAAACGGTTTGGATCCTTTCTGAGAAATAGTTTTGATCAGAAATATCATTTTACCAAATAACTGAAATGACTCAAACAGGTTGGGTCGTTTCTGCGTTATGAGATTACTGAGACAAATAATTATTTTTTGTTTATATTTATATATTTGTTATATATTTGTTTCAGAGAAACGGTTTTAGTTGAACAGTTCACATTACCTAATAACCTAAATAGACACAGACGGGCTAAGTCTTTTGTAAGCAATAGATTTAATGACGGATACAAATGCTTGTAATGCATCTGAAATAACTTAAAACTTTTGGCTTATATCTGTCTAATGAGTATTAGTAATATTGAATCAATTTTATTTTAGTTGGAACGACTAAAACAATGTATCCTCATTTTGTGAAACAAGTCAAGCATTTTATGGAGTAAATTTATATGTTTTGCATTGTTTATACATGGCATAGGTGAAATGAAACTATAACTAATTATTAATTTCCAGATATTTTCTAAAGTGGCCACTTTTTGTCGGTAAATTACTCTCAAAAACTGGTAACTCTGCCATATTCTCGCACACTGATTGGTGAAACACGTGTTTTGTTTTATTTCGATAATTTTTCACCACTACCTCCGATGTCACCAAATGCATTAGAGATGATAGAAACCCTTTGTCGAAAATTTTCTACAGTTGAACATGAGTATATTGATATTTCAAAAAGACGGCGCAGTAAATGTGTGAGTTACGAGTATAGTGATTCTAAACAAGATGGAGACTGACGCCGATACAAATTCTGATTATGTACCCGACAGTGGAGAGGAAACTGGTATTCCGCATTCATCTTTAAAGCAAAATAATCGAAACAACGTTCAGGTTCTCGAGAGCGACAGTTCGGACGAAGATATCATACAGAGGGGTTTGATTTCATCTCACATTGCTGCACGATAATCAAACTATAATTGACAGAACTACACAAATGCGACGCATTGAAAGCCCGCTCATTGTTTCAAATGGCATTTGCAACGACACAACGGTAGATGAACTAATTTCAATGTATCAAGGCTCAGATATTGAAGCAGTTCATGCTGAAGCCGAAACTATTCGTCGCGTTACTAAAAATAATGATGCACTGCAAACTTTGGCCACTCCAAATGTGGATGCAAAAGAAGGTACCCAAAATATTGTCTCTCTGAGAAGAAAAAAAATATATGATAAACTAGTAAGACCGAAAGTATTCCATGGTTATTCGTGCACCTGCAAGCAACGCTGTTTCTTACTTGTACTAAAAGAAAAACGAAAACAAGAGTTTTATAAGTTTGTAGCATTGAGGTCGTACGAAGCTCAGCTGTTATACATTTTAAATAATGTTAAAGAATCTAAAAAAGCTCTATCATATACTTCCACCAAAACCAAAACCAGTAAGAAAAAACCTTGACAGTACAGAAAAATATTTGCAAGAATGTCGTACTATGTAAGGAATAGTTTTTGAAACACTTTTAAATCTCTTCTAAAAGAGTTGACATGTGTATGGCCAAAAAACGATCAGAGGAAACTTATGAAGACATGGTCAAAAATATGGTGGTTGGAACAAAATCCCTGAAGAAGATATAGATTTCGTGAGAAATGTCATTAATCGCCTCCAAAAATACGAATCTCACTACAGAAGAGAACGATACAGAGGCACTCAATATTTAAAACTAGGTATGCCTATCCAAAAAATTTACGACATCTATCTTAAAGAATTCAAAAATGTGTACGGCAGCGAAAAGAAATACGTCTCTTTTGCTATACGCGCGTATTTTATGCGTATTTCAATTTCTGTTATAAATCCTTGAAGAAGGATACTTGCAAAAAATGAGATTCATTAGCCCTTCAGATAAAGAAGTGTTATGTACCAGAAGAAAAATAATTATTGATCCAGCAAAGATATATTTATCAAATAAGAGCGGAGGATCTTCGTAATCAAATGTCCTAAGACTTAGCGCGTGCTAAAACAGATCCCAAATTTTAATGTGTTAACTGCGATCTCGAAAAAACCCTATATTTGCATAGCATTTTAAAAACGTAAGTTATGGATTTATAACGCTGGGATACACG